CTGCTGCCTTCAGGAGCTAGGCCAGTGTGCAGGGCCCTTCGTGCAGGGCCCTTCGTGCAGGTCGCTGTACCTTCACACACCGCCTCGTGTGCCAGAACAACGCAAGCAAGGCGAGCTCCTCGGAGGCTGCCATTTGCTATCCAAGATTTAAAAGAATGTAAGGGAGTAACTACTTGCAACCACGAGTTACTGTTTTCCTCAGACTGCCAATGCCTGGGCTTTACAAGTGACCATTGCAGCACCAGAGCCCCATGTGCAGCTGAGGCTGATGAATGGCGCCTCCCGTGTGTCTGCGGAGCTCGTAGCTCGGCTTTCTCTTCAGCAGCCCCAAGTCTTCTGCCATCTTTTGTTTCCTGTTGGAGTTTCCAAGTGGCACAGACTTAAACGCTAAAGCTGCATCTTGCTGCATCTTGATTTCTTTGGATGTTTTCTGTGCACCTCCCGGCTTGGCCTTTCTCGGTGTAGTGACCAGCTGTGCTGGCTGGGATGGCCAATGCACTAACTGAGATGGCTGAATTTAGGGTGAGGCTTTTCAAACATCCGCTTCAGGGTTAGCCCCGGGCTGGGTGCCTGCCGCTGGGGACGGTGTGTGGAATGCAGTGTCCCCCTAAGCCACCAGTTGATGTCCTGCTCGGGCAGGACATGCAGAGGTGTTTTTTCCTGCTCACAGGTTATATGCAAAACCGCACCACACGACAGTATGAATTTTCACACATGTCCCTTTCCTCTAGACTTCTCAGATGTTACATGGCAAAATAAATACTGCTTATTTGAAATCTTTTTAAATGTAACATGATTGCTTTCACTGATGGCACAGACACAGTGGTACTTTAAAGAAACAAGGGGAAGAAATTCCTTAGGAGTGACTTCTGAGGCAGAGACATTTGCTACAGCTGAGCCTGCCAGAAAGAAATCATCTGTGGTAATTAGATGAAGGAAGTTAAAACAAAGCAAGTCACAAGTCCCTAGCTGGGCCTTTGATCGCAAGATGTGAAGGTTCCCCCGAGCAGTCGCCACCGACCGCGTCAGAGGGACGACCTCAGGCTACCCGAAATCGGATCTGATCCAGTACAATAGTGTTAATCTCATCCTTGAAATGATGCTCAGTGTCCTACTTGCAGACACGTGTGTCGTTGCACTTGTGATGGCTTGGGAGCTTTTCTCTAATGCAGAAATGTTCTGGATATTCTTTGACCCAACAAATTAGGAAAATTAGAAAATTAGGAAAATAAGGAAAAATCTAGTGATGCTGCAGGTAATACTGTTTTTCTGGGAGGAAAGAATTTCTCATGTCTAAATATCACATTTCTGAAGAACATGAGTCTGTACAAACTTCAGTGTTTTCACACTGTAAACCTTTCACATGCAGAAAAACACTTTTGTAGTATTTTGCCATTTCCAGAAACCTTAATAGCTTTCAGTGCGTTTGGGTGTCTTGTGAAAGCAGTAATAGTTTAAAATAATAATAGAAGGTATTCTAATGAGCTGCTATTTATATTCATATATTTCATATCAACTTGCAGATCTTGTTAAAATGTTGAGCCAGCTGTGGCAAACATCCATGCCATAGGTGCTTTGTGTATAACAATCCAGACACCCATAACCTTGTCTTTGATAACCCGAGTCAGAGGAACGATCAAGTTCTGGCTTGCAGTCTCTCTGCAGGAAGGCTGGGTAGAAAGGAAGGTTTGGATGGGTCTAGTGATGTATTTCACAGAAGCTGGGAAGATGCCTCCCCTTAGTCCTGTGGCAGCTCTGGCACCCGGACTGCTGAAGGAGCCAGCATTTATGGGTGCATTTCCCTTCACTGGGCTGCAGGCAGGAGGGATCCTCTCCTTCCTCGGGAGCAAAACGTGGGAATGGACTTTAGCACAAGTATAGACGAGCTGACAAGGATATCCCTGAGCAGAGCTTGACAGGTAGTGACCCGAGCAGGTAACTCATGAGCCATAAGCATGCATGTTTTTATTTGAAATGAGAATAAGAGCTAAATCCCGCGGAGGTCAGTGATACAATCTGTATTGTAGTGGCACTGACACGTAGGTCAGAGAGGTCGGCCACGCGGAGCGAGCCGTGACTCCTGTGGCGCTGGGTTTCCCGCGCGCCGGAGCGGGCTGACGCTGGCGCCCGGTGCCTTGCAGGGTGGCCCAGAAGCAGTGCTGCGTGGCCACGGCGCGGCAAGCGCTCTGCACCGTAGCGGGGAGCTCAGCGGATTTTAAAGCTGCAGGAAAAAATTTCCTGCAGAGTTATGGATTTGGGGTGGCTTTGTTTAGTTTTCAGTTGTCTGGTGGATGCACCGCTTTTGGAACTTCCCAGTAATGGTGATTTGAATGATGATTTTTTTTTTTTTTACTTTTTTTTTCTTTTATTTATTTTTTATTTTTTTACCTCTGCTTTAGAAGTAGCATCAAAGGACATTTTAATTTTTCTCTCTGTGACAAGACTTCAGAAAATGATAGGCCCAACCTTAATCAAAAATTTAATGGGAAAACCCATTACTGGACAGTTTGCTTGGCCAGGGTTTTGAGGAGCAGTCTCATTTCTCAGTTAAACAAAACGGTGGTCTAGAGGAGCAAGCATTCCCGGTGATGATGGAGGCTTTTCTTCATAAATAAAGGCAGATCATTAACCAATGGGTCAAATTACAAATCGTGAGCCCCTGCCGCAGCTGCTATAAATGAGATTTGCTTTAGAAGAATCAATGGAGCCAAACCAATTTAAACCAGTCTGAAGATTCAGCATCTTGCCTGCTCGCCTCTCATGCTTCTACCAGAAGGGTACATTTCAGAATTGATTTAGCTCTGATAATAATTTACATAGCTATATCTAGGCTTAAGTGCCGCTTCCGTTGTCTCAGCAAAAAACTTATTAGTTCTGTCTGTTCTTATCCATCAGCGACCCCCGTGAATAACTGCTCACTCGTAAGGGAAATATGCGGTCGTGTGCTGCGGAGCTAAAGTTTAATTAACTGGGGCAATTTGTCATTTTCCAAACTGTTATTTACTTGGGTCTGGAGTCTACCATTAGAAGACAAAGAGGAAAGCACCAAACATGTGCATCAGGGAGCAGGTATTAATATTCCTGAAATGCAATGAATTATTATTATTAGATTTTCACTGGGACATTCACCAGGCGCCCGGTAAAGCCTTTCCTCCCGTCTGGAGGTTCTTTTTCTCTAGCTTGTGAGCTTGCGTTCAATACGTTTGCACCGTAGGCCAGTTTTCCATGTTGTTTCCTGTAAGACACATGCTTTTAGGGAAGCCCCGTTGTGCTAAAACTTTGGGGGCAGAACACAAAGCATTGCGAGTCAAACGGTGGCTCTCAAGTCGTGTTTCTCAGTGTCGATGCAAAAGTAGTCTCAACGTCAATGTAAAACCAGTAGTATTTGCTATTAATTCAGTTGTAGAATTCTGGTAAAGTTCAAAAGATGGTAAATAGAATATTAAAACCATTTTGGTTTTGCATTTTAGAAGGGATTTTTTAGCAAACACATTTTTCACAGGAAATGAGCACTTTCATCTGGAAAATACAGAAACTCAAGAGCATGTAACCAGTTTAATGGTGACTTACTGTGATGCTTGCATAAATTGTGAATCAAACCGTGACAAAAAAAAAAAGAAAACACCATATTTTTCATGGCAACAACTTCTATATTAAACAGCACTTCAGTAAACACAGATATGACCATTAACTTCCTTCATTTTGAATATTTTGAAGGTGGAAAATTACACCCAAACTATAAATATTTGCAAAAGAAAAGTTTTTAGTTCATAAAATTTTGAATCGGAGATTTTGAATTTGGGGCAAGTAGAAGAATTTTTGTCATTTCCAGCAAGATGATAATCCACTATAGATGGTTTTTTTTTTTTTCTGATAATTTTTTTGAGAAAATAACTTCAGTCCCTGCCGTGTTTCACAAACACGTATTTGGACGCTGATATCAGGCTCTGCCCTGGGGAAGGCGATGGCTCTTTACGGCTTGCCTATTTATAAATGTGAGTCACCCTCATTGTTTTATTTTGGGACCATTCAGAGTGGCGAGAAAGGGCCTGCAGAGGCACCTCTTGTGTTCACCCTAGGCTGAGCAGGCAGGACACGCTGGAGCTGCGCGGGTTGGAGGGGCGCGGGGAGGATCCCTGGAGCTGCAGCCGCAGAGCGCGGCTCGGCAGGGCCTTTCTGCGGGCTGGGCTCCGGACGGGTCTCCCTGTCTCCCTGGCGCAGGCGGAGCCGGTGCTGATGCCGGTGCCACTCCGGGGCTGCTCCTCGTGATCCCTGTGTGTTTCCATGCTGTGTCCTGCTCTCCCAGCGCTGCTTTTGCTGTCGGCTCTCCCCACGTCGGAGACCTCTCTCCAGGGAGGTGCCAGCTCAGCTCCGTTTCCTCTGTTCTGTTCTTGGATTCTGTGTTGACTTAACTAACTGGTGCCAGGCCAGGCCAAGTGTTGACCTTCATTTTATGTGTCTGACATCTGGTTGTAGACCGAGTATTTGAATCATCTGAAATCACTCAGTGAGCACTCGGGTTCCGAGAGGCTTTTCCAGGGAGCTGCCAGTCGTAATGGGTGCTGCCATCCAGGATATTTTGGCTATCAGAGGGTTTCCATAGGAGAAGAGGCTCCATCTCTAAGCATTTTATAACTCTTTTGTCAGAATAATTGATGTCTGGCATCGAAATCTGTGTTATTAGGCATGACAAGACATCACTTACAAATCTAGGGAAGCATCTTTATTCACATATGATCTTTCCATGTCTCTGTAGTACAGCTCCTCTGCTTCCTCGCTTGATTAGGGAGCCACTCTACATAAGGATTGTTCTCAATCATATTTGGGATTTGTTATAATTTATCTAGTGTCCTTTTGTGGCCCAACTGTGCAGTGGATTCGTATGTGGCCAGGTAAAGCAGGGCCTCGCTTTTGTCCTGCGCCAGAGGAGACAGTGTGACCACTGCACTGACCTGTTGCCAAACTCCATTTGTGCTTTAGCAGTCGTGAGAGCAATAGAAATGCACATCAGCCCTAAAATGTATCCTGACCTTGTTGTAGCCACCATCTCAATGGTGCCCGGGACAGTCAGGTCGTTAGAGGCTACAGTAGGTTGCAGAGCAGCAGTGCATAGAGAAAACATCGTCGCACTGATGGAGTGCTCCTAATTTCTACACAAGGCATTTTAAATTCCTTTTACATTGCCTCAGGGAGCTAACTAGACTAAAGAACATAGGAGCATATATCTGTAGTATTTTACTTATGGTATATGCATAGTCATGGCTGTGTGCAGGAGCTGAGAAGAGGTGATCTGCACCACAACTGGCTTCCTTGCACTGCTGCTGAAATGCAGCTGGACTCTGCATTTGTCCTGCTAGCAATCGGCCTGTTTGGGCAGGGGTGGCCCAAACAAGCACAAGGAAAGCTCTGATGTTTGCAGCTCTAAACCTTAAGTGCGTTTGCAGGTGCTCCCCGTTAGAGAAAGCGCAGGCTGGCTGCAGGTGTGTGCGGGGGCTCCTCTCTGCAGCCGGGTGCGCGCGACGTGGGTGCTGATGGTGCCTCTCTGTCGCAGCAATGCTGCGACTGCTGCAACCTGGGCCTGCGGCTGCGGAGCGAGGGGAAAGGCTGCGAGTCCAACATCAACCTGGGCTACCCCTGCAGCCACGTGATGCTCTCCTGCTGCGAAGGGGGGGATCACTTTATTCATCCGGAAATAAAAAAGCATCCGGAGCCTCTGCCGACGGTGACACCGGAGAAGGGTAAGTGTCTCAAGTGCAGTGAGGAGAAGCTACAGAGAGGCTCCCATCTCACATGTTCGTGAAGGGTGGTGTTGGTGGGAGTCTGGCTACAGCAGCACAGCCTGCACTCACAGGTCAAGTATAGAGTTCTTAAAACAGTCCTGAAATATGTTGGTGTTTCTGATCTTTGTAACATATCTGCCTTTAAGGTTTTTTTTTTTTTTTTTCCTTTAGTCACAGGGTACAGAAACCTGTTACACATCAAACAAAAATAAGAAATGTTCTCTGAGAGATAAATGTTTATTAAAGTCACACACTGCAGAACATGGGGTGAAGGCCAGCTAGGTGAGACCTGCCTGGCACCTGGCAGCTTCTCTGCCTTTATTTCTTTCCTTTTAATTTTTATTTAAATAAAAGAGGACACTTTTAGACTGCTGGTGGTAGGAAACCTCCCCCTCCATGTAGGATGCAAAGGTAAAGCTGGTCAGTGTCTTTAGCAGCAAAAATCCTGAAAGAGTCTGCATGAAAGTAATTATGATTTTTTTTTCCAAAGTAGGCCATGGATTATGATACCAAAGAAACCTTATGGGAACAGATTACATAACCCACTGAGCTAAAAATACAAGTGTAGCACTGAACATCATAGCACTTCTCCCACTGCATGCACTGGAGAAGCAGCAGAGCAGTGCAAGCTACGCATGTTTTCTTTTGCTCTTTCAACATATGCCCTAGTGATCTTGAGAGTGAAGTCAAATCCCTGCAGCTGGAGACGCAACAAATCGAGAGTGACACATTTGGAGCTTAGACAGCGACACTTCTTCCATGGGCACGAGCTCATGTTCCTTTGAGCATCACCCTTTAGGTGCCCGTTAAAAATTGCAGTGTTTCTTAGGCTTTAACCCCAAGGATATCCTAGGTGAGCTGGTGACCTTCCCAGGTCACCCTTTTTCACAGTGCCTCCGGTAAAGCATCCATCCCTCCAGTCTTACAGCATGAGAGTAGTGCCCTAAATGCTCCCTACTGCATGGTGCTAATGTCAAAAGTGGTTGTTAGAGAAGCTGTGTGTTTTGCTGTGCTCTTAGTTTCAGAGACTGACGATCACAACGAAGCCTTGTCCATCAGTAACGAAGCTGAATTGTCAAATAACTTGCCTGGAGATGACCTGGATGAATGTCTTATCTATGGCGGGGAGCTCTGCCAGCATTTGTGTATAAACACTGTGGGATCTTACAAGTGTTCGTGTTTCCCAGAGTTCACTTTGCAAGAGGACGGGACCAGCTGTTCTCCAGGTGAGGGAAATGGGCGAGAAACCGTGGATGATGGTGTCTTTGGCTTTCCACTTTCACTGATGTGCCAAGCTTTCCTGTATTGTCTCTATACAGACCAGCTAGGATCTATAAATTCCTTTTGACAACTGTCAGACATTCAAGTTTAGAACTGGGAAGGTCACCTTATTCAATGATCCCTAGTAACTAAATGAGAGTTAGATTGTCATCTTCCTTCCTTCCAGAAAAGGAAGTCCACTTTCCATGTAGGAATTTATGGTCTTACTCCTTTTTCTCCTCAGAAACCTTCAAGATAATTACAAGATAGAAAGGCCCAGATTCTGGAAAATTATGGGAAGTAGTAATATGTACCAAATTCCATGATCAGAAGAAGGCCTAGTCTGAGCCTTTGACCATTTTGTCATTCAGGTGTCATTGCTGGTTATCGTTTCAGGATTTTCACTCTGTTTTCTTTTTTGTTTGCTTGCTTTCTTATGTATTTAGTTTTTAAAATTCAAACTCTCGATTCTCTGCCAAGAGCAAGTAGAAAAGGGTGGAAAATTTCTTCAGTTCTCTGTTAGCACTGAATAATATTTGAAACTGAAAAAGTAACATTTCACAAGTTTTTGAAAAGAACCGAAATGAGATGAAGTTTTCCAATTTCTTTGAATATCTCAGTCTGAGGTTTTTCATGGGTGCGTGTGCATTTTCCCTGGACGTTGGGCAGGTTGGGTTAGTGTAAGGAAGAATGCCCTTTCAAGAAGCTTGGACGATTACTGATTTTTATGCATCCATGCCATGAGACCAGGGTGGGTATTTAGTATGTTCAGACCATTACTTTTTACTTTTAAAAAGAGGATTTGTAAAACAAAAAACCCCCCAACCCAGGAAAAAAAAAAAAGTGAAATATATTTTGTTCAGTGGCTCATTTTGTATTTCACAGTTAGTTTTCCTTTAGACAAACTTTATTCAGTTCAGACACATGGCATTGCTTCCTGAACTTTAATTTTCTGTAAAATCATTAAGATATTTCAGTGACATAATATCTAAATATATCTAAGTGGTGGAAGTCTTATAAAGAATTCCTATTGTGCTGTAATTGTTTTGATGTCTCGAGTTCTCCCATGGCAGGATGTCAAATCAGATAATCACAAAAGTCAAAACCTTAGATTAGTTGCAAGTGCTTTCAATTATTTAATAAGCAAAAGAAGTGTTGCCATCTAATGACAAAGTTCTTTAGACTTCAAATATTTTTGACCCAAAACAAATAATGAGCTTTTGTTATGTCATTCCTCTCAACGTGATGTTACAGCACTTGCATCAGTAACGTGTCTCCGTGGCAGCTGTCTGCTCTGTTGTTTATATTAAAATCTGGGGAAAGAGCCTAATCGCGGAGAGGTAAAGAAAACAGTTGTTGTTTCAGCGTAGCACAACGCGCCTTGCTGGCTCACCTGGGCGCGTGTCTGTGCCCTGCTTTGCTGTTCCTGCCGCGGGCAGCCGCGGGGCTGACGCGTGCGGTGCCTGGCTGGGCAGCGCTCTGGGCAGCGCGGCGGTGCCCGGCGCACGGGGTTTGCCCAGCTCAGCCTGGGCAGCAGCCAGGCGAGGAGAGGGAGGCACATGGGACACGTGGAAGGAGTGGGGCAACCCCGGGCTCGTAGCTTGGTGCGGTGACGTCCATCGAGCACGGGTCTTGGCCAGAGTTGGGCTCCCGTGAAAGGGAAATGGGAGACGTGTGGATTGCAGGAGGCTGCCGAAGCAAACGGAACTTACTGCCGTCCTTGCCTGGTGGCTTGCACTTTGCTCCATGTGTCACTTGAACTACAACCAAAGGGCATGGGACAAATCCCTACTCAGGCTTCCTTGGAAATTGGATTACTCATACAGAGGTATGGATTATTCATACGGAGGTAGCAGCTTTTTGTAACTTATGAAATGGACGGTTTCAGATAGTTATCATGGTCGCTAAAATATTTCCTCCTACAACAAACCACAGTGTATTGGGATGAAGGGTCTGATGGGGACTCTTGGCTTGGGATGTTGGATGGATGTGATGATCCATGCAGGTTCCATCTCCGCCTTACAGATCCCGGCAGAAGACAAGTGACGAGATTGGACGCAGAAGCCACTGTCCCTCCAGCTGCCTCCCCGGCTCAGCCTGCGCTCGTTGTGTCCTTACAGGAGGAGCAGGACAAGTGTAAAGGTAGGTCAGCCGGCTGAACTGCAGCCATGGACGACTGGGGAATGGGTAGAAGGGTGGAAAAAGGTATCGATTCTTGCCTCCCCAATCTGATCAATGCACATCCTTAATTTGTTACCTCTGGCATAAGAAGAATCGTCAGGGGAAACATGAGGAGGTAATTTGAGGCTATGCTCTCATTTCAGGGTTATTACACCCTTGCTGTTTAGTTTGGGACAAGCAAGGCAGCACAATGTGGGCAATGCACATAGGAGGGACACAGGTTGTAAGTAGTGATTAAGGCTCCCAGAGCAGATGTTACAAAGTTGGTTTCCCACTGCCACAGCTGGGTTTATATTTGTTTGACCCAGAGGTTTGGAACTGCAGCTGATCCGTGTTGTAAACTTTAATATATTTTGCAATTTTACTTTGTATAGATAATGGCCCCTGCAAGCACATCTGCAGTGTTGTGGAAGGAAATGTTGTTTGCTCTTGTTTGCCTGGATATACTATCATGGCTGATGGGACTTCTTGTGAAGGTAAGTGGTTGAGATTCGCCACGGACACAGGGCTAAAACACTTTAGTATTGATCCTGCTGATCTTAGACCTGTAGGTATTTCCCTAAGGCTTCTCTACTTTCAGCACTGTGAAGTGCAAAAGTGGCAGCACAGAGAAAACCTTCCTGCCTTTGAAATGATTTGGCAGAAGGACTAGCAGCTCTGCTCGGCACAGAAGTGTGAGGCACATCTACCTGGTGTATCTGTTACTGGAGAGTTGTGTGTGAAGGCAAGCTGGAGTTCTTGCTGCTCGGTCACCCTTGGCTTTTTGCCTGTGGCCTCCTGCACTCTCAGTGCCTCTGTCCCTCCTCGTTTCCCTGTCCCGCTCCCGTGTGTCCAGCTGTGCACGGGCAGCTTCCCCTGCCAACCAGTTTGTCAATGTCTCTGGACAGTCTTTTCACAGCAAAGATGTGGAGGTCAGAAGCAATGCCCTATGACTTATCTTAATTATGAATCTGTAAGTTTGAGACCAAAAGCAGCCAGCAAATAGAAGTTTCTGGTGCTCAGAATTGTTCATAGGTGATCCACATCACTCTTAATCTTGCATCTAATTGAATAACAAATAATTTTGCTGAAATTCCAGATAGTCTGTAAAGAAAATGGGAATTTAATATCACAAGATAAATGTTCACTCTGCACTGCTTACTCAAGTGTGGTGGAATTAATTTGATTAATTAATGTCAGAATCAAAACGGGCATTTCAAGGCAGCCTCCTTCCCACAGGAGGTGAAGAAATTCAGAAATGCCACGGGAAGTAGTGAGTTTAGATTTCAGTAACGGATGCCTATACCCTGCATTAGAGATGTCTGTGAAGGTGTGAGGGGTGATGTGCTGCAGTCGACTCTCCAGAAAGGCTCTGCAAGGAATCTGTGTTGCTGCCCATTTCTCTGAAAATGGTTCTTTCTGCAGTGACAAAGGGGCAAGAGCAAGGATGAGGTGATTGCTGAAGGTTTGTTCCAGCCCTGTTTTCACCGTTAGACTGTAAATATTACAGTATGGTGCTGTTGTAGCAGCTCCAACACACTTCATTTAGAGAGCTCCGGTGTGTGAAAGAAAAGTTGTCTCATTTCAGAAATCATTCTAATAGATTCTGGTTTTCCCTTTTGGTCACAATATGCTACTATAGATTTGGATGAGTGCCTCGCAGGTGCTCACGCCTGTTCCAGAAGACAATTATGTGTGAACACACTGGGATCATTCTCCTGTGTCAGCCGCAGAGTGATCTGTGCAGAGGGCTTTATACTCAACAGGCATAGAGAATGTGTGGGTAAGATGATAGGTGTAAGCCGTTCACCATAGCATCATAATTCTTCATGCTATGCAGTACATTTAAACCATTTGCGCTAAAAGGCTCTCTGGCCATTTTTGCATATGACATTTCAATATGAGTTAGTAAAAACACATGTGCACCATTTGCTCAGCCATTTAACATCATGAGTTGTATGCTATTTGGCTTTTTCATGAGCACCACATTATCAGGCTACATGTGATTTTGCTCAAAAGTTGTAAAAGTTCATAGGTATGATGACCACAGCAGTGCTAATGACTGTTAAAGTGGACTAAGACAACATAGCAGTTGATCTCTCTGGACAGTGGCAGTGCTGCCAAATCCCTGGGCAGAAAACAGCAGCAAAACTTCCTAAGTATAACTCCAGAAATCTGCACAGGTCCAGGCAGAAAAGACCCATTCCAAAATGCTTCAATTTTAGAATTCAGATTAGTCCTCTCAGTTTCTGGAAAAGATTTCTCGGTATAAAAGTCAAAGATGCATCACAATGTTGCAATAACACTGCTGCTATTTAGGAAGCCAATCTACTTCTACCAGTGTATTCTTGGGGCGTTCAGTGTATTTATGGGGATTTCTCTTGCTTCGGACAACATTGTCCTGCACTTAGGAAAGAGCTTCCACATGGGAGGCTCCTCCAGAAGCCAGGCAGGCGCCTGCGTTGCCGGAGGGTTGTGGACATGCAGCTCTGCTCTCCGTGTCCACGGGCTGCAGAGATGAGGGCTGCCTGGGACTGTAACGCCCCGCGGGGACACCAGCCTTCCCCAGCTCCTCTCCCTCTCCCGGGGCTCAGAGCATTGCTTTTCTCACTGTCCCGGTGCCCCAGTGTGTATTTTTGTTCCTATGTTTTAAAGCCCTATGATCTCATATGTTTAATGAGCATCATATGGCATGAGGGCATGAGCAGGAAAGTTTACACAATGTCAGAGTTTTGGGCAGGAATGTGATTTAATATCTTCTGGATTTCCTTTAAATTGTCAAAATTGGATTTTTTTTTTCAGGCAGATACTGCTAAGCATACAAATTTAATGTAATGATTTAGTTTAAATTAAATGTCTATCAGAACAGTGCTGGAAGGAAAGATGCCTTTACAGTTAAAATATCAGCCCAGGACGTGGAAGCATCTGTAGCTGGCCATGCTCTGCATGGTGCATTTCAGAGCTGTAGCAGAGCCTGCTGTGGGCACCACACTCCTGAAAATAAGGTCTGTTAAGTGAGCAGCTGAAGGATCTGCCTCTCAGTGATTCTGCTTCTGAAAAGGATATATCTGTCCTTTTCAGCATCTCCCAGCTGCGTTTTGAAGCTAAATTAATGCATGTTTGTCAGCAGCTTTGGCAGAAGGTGCTATAGAAGATGCAAGATCTGTTATTTACTTTCTTCCTCTCCTGGTCTCTTCCACGTGAGATTATAGCAGTTTTACGTGACTGATGTTAAGACACTGATGTTCAGACATTGCTAGTAAAAAAGGAGGAGGCAACACTTGCTTGTAAAACTCAAATATCCTCTTATCCTTCACTAAATAACACTGCTTGTATTTCTCTAAGGCAGTTCTGGTTTTACAGATACCCTTGTTAAACAAGCTGGAAAACGTTGGCGTTCCGCTCCCTTTTGAGCAGATCGGCCCGGCGTCCCCCCTGCTCGTAGGCAGCTCTGCTGTGTGGTGGCTGCATTTAACGTTTTTCCTGCTTTGCTAGTGAAGGGGGAAGCCACAAGCAGACTGTGGTTTCTGATTTGTTCAGCTGCCTCGCTGCAGCCGTACTTGCCTCAATATCCTTTTCCAGCTTAACTACTTTTATGCCCCATCCTGAGCCATCTCAAGCCCCCGAGGAAAGCTTTAGTAATTTGTTTGCAAATGGTAGTTGTTTCATTGATGTTACTATGCGCATATTTCAGGGAGAGGAGCAATGATCTTTGCAGAGCAGCAAAACCGCGAATAACCTTTTATCTCTTGAGTTTCCTTTAGCCAGGCAGTGGAAGGTGATAATTCCAGGTGCATGTGGGAGCAGATAGGCAGAATTCCTGAAAGGCAGCTGTGCACAATGAAGAGCCCCCAGCTGTTTAAATAGCTTGCACACACCCCCTCGGTGTGTTTTTTTGAATAGATAGTAAAGCGTCTTTAGGCTTGAAAGCTCCGTGTTCTCCAGAGATAAGGCCAGCTTGGATGTTTCTACCGTGGTTTGCTTTTCGTGCAACTTTCAGGCAAAGCCATTACAGCCACCCACACACACGCTGACAGAAGGCCTCTGTTTTGTTCTCCTTCCTACTCGCATCTAAACTTTTCCCTCCTGTCAGAGTGGGCAGTAAATGGTCATTTATTGCTGAAGCCAGGGGCTGTACGTGAGCACCGGCGCTAAGGAAGGGGCTGGGTGGTTGCAAAGGAAAAGCAGTTCTGGGTAAAGCGGATGTCTTCTGTCTTCCATAAAACAAATGGAGCTGAAGCAATCTGAAGAGAAAACAATGCAAGACTAACTACAGACGCAGGACAAAAACGCCTGCCTTTAACATTTCATGAACTTAATGTAGAGAGGAACCGTGTATTGAAAAGATAGTAGGTGAATGCCAGTGTTCCTTTGCAAAAATGTCAGCTTCTTAGCTGCAACAGATATGCTGAAGAATCATGTAAATGTTCCTGTTTTCAGCAATAGTTCCAGGAAAAGTGTGTGTTATGTGGCTATGTTTCACTCCATTTTTACTGACAGAGGGAGGAATGTTGCTACCACAAACATAGACCAAGTTAATCTGTCAAAAATTAACTATGACTCGTGTTTCAGTATATTACTGAGTTGTTCCTATTATTACTGTTCCTATTTTTGTAAAAATCCTCTTCCCCTATCCCACAGTCATTGTAACTGTATTGGATGAAGACAAAAGCCTGTTTGATGTTGGTCATTAACTCAGTCTCGTACTGAAACCGTAACTCCTTTTTTCTAGTGCTCTGTCAGGAATGTTGCTGGCTTGTTGAGTTGTCTCCAGCACCGAAGAGCGGCAGGCTCTTGGCACACTTGGTTTTATGGATAACCAAAGGCAGAGAGAAAGGAGAGAGGGGGAGATTGTCCTGTTTTATAAAGCTCTTGAGCTCGACCCTCCCTTGTGCCTTATGGTAGAGCAAAGCAGGGGTAGTAGGTGCAGCATGGGCTGAGCAGAGCCACGGGCTGCCTCTGGATAAGCCGCTCAGCGGACTGGAGTTTCCAGAGATGCCTCTTCCCACCCTCGCGCTCATATTGAGGAGCACTGGCTTGGTTTAAATCTTGCCTCTCAGCCCATGCCATAACCATTAACTTTAACAGATTGTCCCTTGTGCACAAAGTTTTCCCCAAAAACAAAATTCTGCAGGTAATCTTCTGGTTTCCATAATTTTAATTTCCTCAGACATGGTCAGGCCAGCTCTGCTTGTTTTCCTAAGGACTGAGAAAGCTTAAAGTTGACTGTAGACAAAACATGAAATCATACTGTTTTTTTTGGCCCTCTGTAAAATCCTCCCCCCTTATTTTCAGGTCTGTTGTGGAACCTGTTTAAATCAGTAGAAAGAATTGCACTAGTCCACTGCTAAGTGGTTGCTTATAATATATTTTTTAAAAATCTCATATTTATTTAAGAAATAAGTCTAGTTAGGTGGGACAAATCTACCAAAGCAGCTCATACCCTTTTCCTGCCATGTGACTGCTTTTTTGTTTTCTTTTCCAAGACATCTTATGAGAATGTTGCTGCCTACACTTCGTGCTAACGCGCTGCAGTCACAGAGCTGTCGAGGGATTAGGCCGTGGCCCCGCACAAGCTTTGGGGCAGGCAGGTGCCTGTTGCACAGTGGAGATCCCCCGTGGCCACGAGGGAACAGCAGGAGGATCGAATCCAGAGCGCTAACCTGGCTGCGGGAGGACCTGCTGGCTCCGGAAAGCAAATGCACAGCACGTGAAGAAAAGCAATAGCAAAGTGAAATAGAGCTGAACTACATGTAAAGTGAAGTGGCACCCAGCTAACACAGTGGTCCTCCAAAACCCTGTCCATATCTCTAGTGAGCTGAAATTCCTCAGTGCTCTGCTTCATCTGTTCAGCAGAAAACAGGCTGAGGCATTTTATAAGGCAAAAGCTTTTAAAATCACTTGTCCTAGTTTTGTGCTCTGCAAGGGACATTATAGGTCTGATATTGTAGCTACCTGGACATGACGTTCCAGCCAAAATGAAAATCTTATTTAAACTGTACTTACTCTGTTGGCTAGTGTGAAAACAGCTTTTTGTGCAGGGAAGCCGGATGCTTGGTGGGAGTTATGGTCACATTGAGCTGTCATTAGTGCATAAGATTTGGGAGAGAACATTTTAGAAAAAAAAAAAAAGGAAAAAAAAAGCTTTTTTTTCCAGTCTTCACCCCTCTTTGCTTCTTAGTAATCTTAGAAATCCCTCTCTCTCGCAGCAGCTCCACACTAACCTCCTTAAACCAGGCCACTGTCTACATTCACCTTCTTTCGGAAGAAATGGCTTCACATGGGCTTTTGGCTCCTTCCCAAAGAGAGCAGGAAGCAGCAGTTTTATTGATAAATATGAGGCACTGAATTGTCTGATTGCTTTTTGTAGACATTAACGAATGCGTGACGGATGCGCACACGTGCCAGCGGCGAGAGCACTGCCTCAACACCATGGGCTCCTTTAAGTGCCTGCAGGAACTGAGCTGCCAGCCAGGATATGAACTTAAGGATGGGGAATGTGTTGGTAAGGAGAGTGCTTTTCACTTGATGCAATTGCTGTTACTAATTAGGAGAGGAAAGGGTCCGTGGAGCATGTTATTGTTGCTGGTCTGTAATACCAGAATTGAACTAGAAAACATGGTCATCATGGAAATGTTTGGCTTCACAAGCCCCTTTTCAATTTAATTTAATTTGAGATACTTTCCAACAGTTATGATGAATAATTTGGAAATACCCAAAACCTTTTGATTTAGGATTTGCCCAGCTTTGAAGGGTGAGATGTCACTGCCAGGGGAGCTGCTCTGGGAGCTCCGCTCTGCTCTGACGGGGCCAGCGCTGCTCCCTGCAGCCCCCCGGATCAGGGGCTCCGTCTAGCCCTTCTGTGCTCAGGGGCCCGCCTGCATTTATTTACTTTTGTGTTTATTTACATGGGGTAAGAGGTTATTCCTCTGCTTCCCCCTTCTTGGTCTCTGCAGGGATCTAACAGGGAGTCTTGGAGCATTGAGCGTTGCAGCCGCTCGAAGAGGATCCCTTCGTAGGTCACAAGTCAGGGTTATTTACTCCTAAACGTTTTTACAGTTTCCTGACAGCTGGGGAAGGGGAAGCGTAAGGAAAGAAGTTAGTGCTTGACATGTAACAAATGCTATAAAATAGAAATTATCAGAATTGCTACTTTATACACAGCTGTCCTAAGTAAACATGGCATTACTTGAAGGGTCTCTGCTGAGCCCCTGTTCTGGTGTCTGGTTTTGTAGCATTTTTAATGTTTATTAGCAATCTATATTATTTTCTAAACATAGATTGTAGCTATAATAAATTATCAAATGTACAATTTTTTTTAAAAAAAATTGCTTTTAAATTAATGACTTATAAGAAGGACTATTATTCCAAAACTACTCAGTGTAAAATTGTCTACATATGACTATTGATTTTCTCACATTTTATGAAATACTGAGTTCTACATTTTTCTGTAACTCATTCTGTATATATGACTTAAAGATCTATTAATATAGCAGCTTCTGGAAGACTGGGGGTCTTCTTGATGACTTTAGCACTAAATTGAGGGGTTAGAGCAGAAAGATAAGTGTCAGGGGCTCTCCCATGTCTGTCTGGGGAGTTTATTTTATCTTATTTTTTTTTCCTGAATAGCACAGTTTACTGTATTTGTCTAGTAAATACATTCACTATGAGGAGAGTTTTCAGGAAATAGTGTACGTTAATGTAGGATTAGAAAAGATTCCCAGAGAGTAAACTTTGACCGTATTTGTATTGGGATCTCCGTCCTTCAATGAAGAGCTGAGAGCAATACCACAGCTGCTCAGCAGAGATCAGCTGGGCCTGAATTTCCAAGCTTGAGCCTTGTAGGAAGTGTGCCTAGAAAGCAGGCATTAAATGGATGGAGTTAATTTGCGAGGTAATTTCATGTACTAGTAAAAAGGAGAAAACCGTGTTCAGCCTGGCTGCAGAGCAGCACCAAGTTTGTCAGTAACGTTACTACAGCGCTTACTTTTCGGAGGTGGTTGGGTAATGGGCTTGTATAACTGTGTACCTCGGTGTGCACCCTGTGCACAACATGCAGTTGCCCCCTTTAACTCAGGGGTCCTTTAAGCATCTTGTTCAGCCTAGCCAGGAATTTATGTAGAATCCCTGAGGGCTGAGGAGCAGGAGAACCGATCAGCTTCTGGAATAGTGTGGTATGTGGTTGGTGTGGTGCCCTTATTTCTAAATTTATTCTGGGTCCCTGGGACTTTAAAATGGGCAGTGTTCCCTGTCTGTGGTTTCCTAGAGGTTCAGTGAACGTTGTGGTGGGACCATGTTGGTTGGTGCAACCCATGGGTTGCAGAACGTCCTGGCTCAGGAGCCCACTGTGTCCAAGAGTGACATCCCCACACCTCAGTGTGACGCCACAAGCTGTTCTGGGTGTCTGGTTTACCTGCTGCTCCCTGACTTCCTCGCTGAGAAACTAGTCCTGAAAGGCTATGGAAAATTGCAGCTTGACTAGTCACACACTGATGTTTTGATCCAATTAACAGACATTGATGAATGCGAGAGAGGGACTCATAGCTGCAAGGTGAACTTCGTCTGCCAGAACACAGAAGGGTCCTTCTACTGCGAGTCGAAGCAGCGCTGCATGGACGGGTTTCTGCAAGACCCGGAGGGCAACTGTGTTGGTAGGTGCCACCTGCAATATGTGCAGCAGCACTGGCCCTCTCCTGTTCCTTTTAGTCTGTCCAGTAGGTGTACATTGATTATGTGCAATTTTCCTTAAATCTTGCTATGAATTAAGTCTAAACATTGCTCTTTTGAAGATAGGCATACTTGCGTAATTAATTTGAAAGGACTGCTGTAACAGACCCTCATCAGCCTTAGCTTTGTGGTACAATCAATCAAAATTAAGGAAGCGAGAGCTGGGAGAGAAGGGTCACTATCAGGATTCTAACTCCTTTTCTTCACCAGACATTAATGAATGCACATCCCTTCCTGAGCCATGTAAACCAGGATTCAACTGCATCAACACCGTTGGGTCCTACACCTGCCAGAGGAACATGCTGACGTGCAGCAGGGGCTACCATGCCAGCGAGGACGGGAGCCGCTGCGTCGGTAAGGCAGGAGAACGGGATATCTAACGTAATTAGCTGAGGAAATGGAGACAGCATCCTAAAACAGCTACAGTGGGACGCGTTCCCTAAGCTCAGGGCAAAGTGGTGCAATATCATCTATTGCCTTATTATAGGACAGCCTGAGATATCCTGGCTGTGCAGAAGGAAGGTGCAGAAGCTCTGTCTGCAGAGCTGTCGTGCAGGGACGGGTCTTCAGCTGGTTCCCACCACCCCTGTCTCAGCAAAGCCAACAAGTCTGGGCCTGTTTGCACCACCTGAAGTGAGGGGACTCTGAGATTGTTTTTATTGTATAACAGCAGTTATACAGTTAAGGCATGATGAGATGACCTGATGCAAAGTATTTGGTAATGTTCCTTTGTTTCTAATTTACATGTTTGACAATGCTTTTAAAGAGCAGAGCTAGGGAAACTCTTTGGAGAATTTGGCAACGTTTCTACTTAATTTTAGGAAAACAAATGTTTCGTGTTACTTGGAGATACCTCTGTCAATGCTGGGCGTGCAAGGTCTCGGCTTGCAGCCGGTGTTTTTCTTGGTATGTGTTCCTTTGAGTAGGAAGAGAGTATGGAGGAGAAAAAGGAAAAGCATATGGTCCTAATTTCCCATTTCTATGGTAAAGACTACTTTCTCAAAGGTATTACGATGGTTAATTGGACTCCTAATTCAGATTTACTTAAAGTACCATAAAATACGTCATCTGGATGTGTTTCTGGAGCAGAACTAAACTTCTGTTGTCATCTCCATTTAGAGGATTATTTTTCCTTGGAAATGTTCATTTTTTCTCATTCAGTAAATCAGTTATTAAAAGCTACCTCTTACATTTAATTGAAAAGCACTGTAATTATGCACATGTAATACCATGAAATGTAGCACACTTCTGATGGGATAGTGCCATAGAACTGGTTAAAGGCTGTATGCAAAAGAATATATAATTTTGCAGAAACTAATGAAATGGTTGCATGCATGAATTCATTGCAAATAAAACTGCTGATGTGAAAATGTGTATCTGCCTTAAAAACTTCTTGTTTTGATGCTTCCTCTGATCTGAAAGAAAATAAGAAGGCAGCATTTCAGCAGAAACCTGGGCCCACTCTTTACTGGGCAGATTCCTGGTCGTCACTAACCCAGTGCTGGCAGGGACTGAATGTGTACTGAAGAAGTCAGAGTTCAGAAGAACAGTATTTGCTTGAACCTCTCACCAGGTTTAATATTTTCTCCACTTTTCCGAACCTAAGTGTAGGTTTGGAAACTTGCTCACATTTCCCTATCATTTTCTCGGCAAGTGACTGCTTTCTAAAGCAACCTTAAGGACGAGTGGTGGAGAAACTGCCCAGAGACTCTCTGAAATGAAACATTGCAAGAATTTGTGAATTTGGAAGGGCCACTGTGTGGAGAACCTGCAGTCATAACGTGGCTGCCATCGTCATTAATACTGCATGAACCGAGGCCTGGGGTGTGAAGTAAAGAAATGGATGATAGAAAAGAAGGATCTGGTGACTTAGAAAATGGCAGAACTCAGAGCACTGTAATAAACACAAATGTTGGAGGCTTTGTCAGAGTTTTTGATGCTTCTTGTCACAGATGGTAACAGGGATTTGCTAAATACTGATGAGCTATTTAGTCATGTTCTAAGTCTTGTAAATCAGTCCATATTGAAAACTCTTGTCTTCCTCTGAGGGTTGTTAAACTGAGATTGGTGGTGACACATGTGAGTGGAGGAGCACCTAATTTGTTGATATTGGATTTTGAATGAGAGGCCATGAGGTATATGAAACTTTGGGTGGATTGAGAAAAGAGACCAACTTCGGAAAAGAGCAAAAGGTGGGCAGCAGTAGC